GCCTGCCCCTTTAAGGGCAGCCATTTTTAACTCCGTTGCTCTCCATGGGACACCTCCGACTGCCTCACAGCATGCTGAGTTAAAGGATGTTATACAGAAGTCAGTGATCAATTATCTTCCACCAAATGTAAGACAAGACATAATAGGCTTCATCTACAGCAAGGGAAATATAGGTTAGGCATTAGAAAAACTTTATAAGGATAGCTAAGCTGTGGAATAGGCTTCTAAATGGAGGTTGTAGAGTCCCTATCACTGGAAGTTTTCAAGAGCAGCTAAAACAAACACTCAGAGATGGTGTAAGTATACTTGGTCTTCATTCATTACAAGAGGCTGGACCAGATAACATCTGAGATCTGTCTCCACATTATTGTAATTTTAGTGCCCGCCTCCCTCCTCATGCTGTGGATAGCTGCAAGGAATTCTAAAACAAGATCCTGTGATATCCTAGGTAACCAAAATGCTACATTGGAGGAAACCCAAACCTTGGAGATTCCTGCCTGGAAAAAAGAGGGCCTCAAAAGTCGTGAGAAACCTTCACCTGCTTTGCACAGAGGCAAAAGACTGTCAACAGGAAAGTGGTATAAATTTTTGCTCTGCTTGAGTAAATTATTTTCATTATTTTTTATCCTCTCAGAGCTTCTTTTAGTTTAGTAAGCAACTTGTATTCCTTTTATATGTCAGTTTACCTCAGTAACTAGCTTATTCTGCCAAGATTAACCTGATCAAGGAATAGGCAGACTTTCAGATAATTTTTTTTAAATCCTTAAAAATTAAAAGGCATATTATTTCTTAGTAGCAAAGGGAATGATATGGATTAAAAGTTTAAATGTTTTCATTAAACACATTTAGTTTATTATATCAATAAATAATCTATCATTATTTTCTTTTAGTCCTTTCATTACTATCCTAGAAATTATAGCACAATATTACCAAACTTGCACACTAATGTTTGGTTGTGATATATATGAGTAGTTAAAACAAAGAGAAATAAAGAAAAACCAATTTTTGTAAATAGCAGTGAACAGACAACTGAAACTATTTTAATACAAATTTGTAGTACTTGAATGGCTTCTAGTTTGTTTCCCAAATTCATAAAGACTGAAAGTAGCTGATTTTTTCAGTGTACATACCTGCAAATGACTTGCATGTTATAATGTTTTGAATTCTATTATTTCATGGTTAGAAAGGTAGTGAATTAAATGTTGATTGTTTGGCCTATTATTGTTCTTTCAACTTGAATGTATTACTTTTCAAGTATATAGATACTTATTCAATAAGTGGGGAAAATGTAAAACAAACTGTACCTAATTGCTTCAACAAACTGATACAACAGTCCAAAATAAATTGTGACAATAACACACCTCTCCTCTTATGATTTATGCACTCACATAAGTCTTAAGGAGGATAGGGTACCAATTAATCTAAAAAATGTACTAGTTAACTGAATCACTTAAGTAGCCAAGACATAAAAGCTTTCTAAGAACTATCTGCACTGCCATGACAGGCCCCTCTAAAGTAATCAATTTTAAGAAGTATAAAATGTGTGCACTATTTATTGTATTCAACTTTGGACTGTAATGTATTATTTTAAATTTAATGTATTTTCTAAATTAATTTACTACAGTATCTCTGTTGCTGTTAACCTTCTTTCTGCTCCTGAACCAACTTTACTTTTTTTCTTTCCTATATTGATCATTAGGTAGCTTTGCTCCATGAAGCTGTCGGCATATTTTTCCTCTTCTCTTTCTCACCCCCTCTAGCCCTTTGCACCCTTTCTATTTTTCCCTCAAAGAATGTGCTTTACAACCTTTCATATTTTTTTCTCTTATTGCTCTCCTTCAATCTCTCTCTCTCTCTCTCTACCTTATGTCTTGTCATTGAGAATTCTGAGTACAGCACAGATCTGCAAGAATCAGGTCAGTTTTATACTGCTTCTACAGTTTTTTAAAAACCATGTGCAAGTGCAAAATCAAGCACTGTATGTGTTCTCTGGGAAGTGAACCCAAAATTATAAATGAGTGGTGACGCCCACCCTCCAAACAGACATCCAATCCATCCCGTTCTGACACCTTTTTCTGAGTTCACCTTTCCCATCAAGGGCCATGATGCCAATTCTATCACACAGTTTTGAAAAGTTTCCTAAGCAGAATATAAACTTCACAGTTTCCCACAGATTTACTAATAATGGGAATGAAAACCAACAAGATCCTAGTTAGTTTTCACTCTACTGTGTTTGACAAAGCTATAAGAAGCAGCAGACACACTGAAGACATTTAGAAAAAACATATTTACACAAGGTTCACATTTGGAATGTTATCTCTGCAATCACAGGGTACGTCTAGACCAAATGGCTCCGTCGACGGAGTCATGTAAATTTGTTTGTTGGGCAAAGGGAAATGAAGCCACGATTTAAATAATCGCGGCTTCATTTAAATTTAAATGGCTGCTGCACTGAACCGACAAACAGGTGATCATCTACCTCATCCTACGAGGCATAATGGGGAGGTCGATAAAGGGCTTTCAGGTCGGCGCGGGAGCTTCCAGACTAGCGCGCTGAACTGACAAACAGCTGTTTGTTGGCTCAGCACGGCAGCCATTTAAATTTAAATGAAGCCGCGATTATTTAAATCGTGGCTTCATTTCCCTTTGCCCAACAAACAAATTTACATGACTCCGTCGACGGAGCCATTTGGTCTAGACGTACTTAAAGTGCTCCCCCTTCTCCTGCTACAAAATTAAAGTTTCAGTTCTACGGAAGCTGATGGAACTTGCCCAGGAAAGCTTCCTGATCTATTCATGATGGGGCAGATTTTTACAAGATTTGTAAAAAGCTAATATTTTTCTAACACAGCTGCTTTTAGAGATGGTTGGAGGCTAGATTCTCTACTGTATTCCTATGAGGCTCATAGGTGCAAGAATCCGGTCATTGACTCTCTGAAAACTACCTCAGGGTGAAAGACTTTTAGCGAGAATAAATCTAGTTGTGCTGTCTCCTGTGTCAACATTCACCAATGAAACTATGCCCTTCATATGGCTGATATATTCTTTTTCAAGCTTACATGTGAAATACTTTTAATAGCATGTATTCCTTTTTGTTCTTGCTCTATAAAATTTCCATCTCCACTACTCAGCTTTTAGATAGTACTTTTCATTCACAGATGTCAAAATGCTTTACAAAAGATTTCTGTATCATCCCCACTTTACAGATGGAGAAACAACAAATAAATGATTTAATCAAGATCACCAGACTAGTCAAATGGCTAGAAATAGAACTGGTGTATCCCAAGTCCCAGTCCAATGCCTCATCTAGTGCACACAGTGAATGCTAATGAATAAACATTTGTAACATTAATGCAAGAGAATGATCAGAAATGCTTAAAAAGATAGTAATACCAGAGTCTGAACTCAATACTTTTTAAATTAAATCAGCCACTGGGCCTCATTTAATGTCTGTAACTCACAAGTATTGTTTTACCTACAGAGATCACCCTGAATACAATATGATTACACTAAATAGTGAGGATGATTAAAAACTGAATAAGGGATATAAAATACAAATTAAGGACTAAATGCTGCCCTCACTTAGAGGTATGCACTTTCACTTAGTCTAAGATCTTAAATAAAAGGAAATATGTACAAACTTATTAAAGGTATTAACGTCGTAAGTAGGGATGTCAACATGTGCTTGACTATATGATTGACCGATAAGCCTAGGCTTATTGGTTAATCTTATCGACTACACACATTTCCCCTCCCCTCCTTGCTGCCTCTGTATCAGTGCCTCTGGAGCAGAAGCCAGTGCTGGGGAGAGCTGGCTTAAAAGCCGGTTCCTCCCAGCACCAGCTCTGCAGTTTCTATCCACGGGGGGTCCAAGCGCCCTGCAAAAAGAGGCTACTCTGTGAGATGCAGAGCAGCCTCTTTCGGCAACGAGCCTGAGCCCACCATGGGCAGAGGCTGCTTCTCAGTAGCAGCCCTTGTCCACGGGAGGTCCAAGCTCCCCACAGATCAACCTGATAGAGGCAGCGGTGCAGGACGGCAGGCAGCCTGTTTGTGCAGGGAGCCGTTTTTTAAACTGGCTCGCCTCACAGACCAGCTCTCCCTGCCACCCCATGCTATTTCCTCTGATACAAAGGCAGTAGCGCAGGGTGGCAGGGAGCTCCCTGGGAGTGTGGCTGGGAATGCACTAGCTGCCAGCCTCAGCCCCGGGGACTATCAAATAGTCGTGTAGCCACTAATAGTTTCATGCGGTTACACAACTATTCAATTACATGATATCTAGCATCCCTAATTGTAAGACATGAAAATGTTGGGGAAACTGGCTACTGCTAATATCCTATAGTTGGACATATTTATTCCCGCATTTCCATTATAAGCTATTTACAGGAACATATTACTCTAGCCTAACTAGTCACACTAAGGTAAAATATAACATACAAAGGTTCACCTCAAAAGCAAATTTTTATTCTGTTTGTACTCAAATTTAGTTTAAGTAATTCTGATAAATAAGGGTTACATTCAAAAATTGAAAATAAATTTTAAGCAATAGGCACATTTTGTCTTACAACACAGTAAATCCAAAAATCTTCACCTCAAAATAGAATACTGTAAAAACAATTTACTCTCCATATTTAAGAGGAAATAAAAATTCCAGAGAACCATCATTTAATTAACAAGTTACTGTAAATGCACAATAACTATTGTTCATCAAAAATTCTCTATAGATTACTTGTAGGCTTGGCCTGTTAGAAGAACTATTACTATACAAATGAAACCTAAATGAGCTTTGATCCTAAAATGGTCTCAGTAAATAAGCTATAACTACAATATTGATATTAAAATAATGTTGGAAACCAAAACACATGTACCCTAAATTATGTATAGAATGAAATAAATAAAGTACTTCTGGTCTGACAAAATACTTAGTCATCGATAGTAAATTCAGGTTCTTTTGTGGTTGTATTATTTAACAAATTAAAGAGATAGACTCAGTAAAAGTTTACCTTACTTCAGCTGGTGTATTTTGGGAATAGGGATTTGCAGAACAAGCCAAAATCCTAATAACAGCCCCAGGATGATATGTTTCCAGAACATGCACTGCAGTGGGATAAACTGGCTCCTCATATGCAAGCTCTACGTAGTCGTGGCTATAGAAGTTAGGTGGGGTCCTCTTGAATGGCAACTGGGCACTAGGACACTGATCCCACCAAGTTCCATAAGTTCGAAACACAGCAGTCTGAGTAAAGTCACCAGAACTGGGGTACACATTTGGAATACCTGCCAAATTCCACATGGTGTAGGACATGCTGTTTTCACTACCGTAATGAGAACTGAAATCCAACACTTCTTTGGCATACTGGATTACTTCAACATTGACAGATAAGGCTCGACTGTTTGATTCAATAGCTCTTCGACTGGTCATCATTTCTCCCCTTGTAGCTGTCCTGGCTCGGCGCCGAAGGCAAATATAGTAAAACATGCTGAGAACTGTTAACATGGGAAACACTGGTGACATGTAGATATGAATTATGAAGCTGCAAAAGGTCACGTATCCTATACAAAGTGCATTAACTCTTTGGGGGATGTTTCAAAAAATAGCTGAACAGAATGGTTAAACAGGGTCAATACAGAAAATTTTTCCAGAAGGAATCCAATTTGCTTTTACTCATTTTAATATGTCATCTTAAAGACAGTGCTGTCATTAAAAATCTAAAACCAAGTGGTTTTCATAGTGCCATTGAATAAAAAAAGGCAGTTATCGGGAAATTAAATTGAACCAAAAACTAAATTAACTCTTTTCCATGATAGATCACCAGACTGCAGTGATAACAAAAAGTTTGGATTAAATATGAAAAACCTTCAGGCACTTTCATGTTATCCATGAGAGCATCCCTGGGATAAGTCAGTAGGACTCCAAAAAGTTGTTCATTTGAGACCATTAATAATATCAGAAGTCATCCTATTATACAGCCATGAAAGAAAGTAGGTATTCAAGAGTCTGTAATGATGTCAGAAGCAGACGTCTATATGCAGTGTTTTACATCTGTAAAAAATAAGACATATTGGTTAATACAGTTACTGGATTAGATTAAAAATTTGCTAAACCTGGATAGGGCACTCATGAAAACTATTTCTAGTAACTAAAACTGACGAAAAACAAATATAGTATCTACAGCAATAATCTAATCTGTCAAACAAAGCCACATTTCAGCAGTCATACTAGAGCATCCTTTATATAAAGCGCATACTTATTCCAGATTACATTCCGATCAAATAACATCTAAAACATATATCCTAGAAAAGTAAGCTTTAACAAGAGAGCATGAGATGAAATATTTCCATGGTTTTTTTTAATGTTATTGCAGTAGAAAAATTTTGTTTATTTAGCAAACGTTATTTCACTATAATCCAAACAATAAAACCTTCAACTAGCACACAAGAATCATAAAGTTAAGGTGAATAAAATTTCACTGACAATACCTAAAAAAGTGAATTAGGTTTTCATTGACCAGATTGAGTGGCATGCGAAAAGTAAATAATTAGTACAACTGGTAGAAGAGTTAGGTATGTGATCAACACAGTAAAGAAACGTGTTTTTAAAAAACATTTTTAATCTGTCACTTCAAAGAAATGGGCCTGTCCATGTTAGATTTCCTACAACTAAAGATAACCTTATACACCCCACTGCACACTTAGCAAGCACAAAACAACTGTAAGGCAAAAACAGTTAGATTTACCAATATAATTAAAGTATTCAGATTGTTACTAACAGAATTGAAGGACTAACAAAATATTTCCTTACAGTTTATCAAGAAGCAAGACATATCAAAATACATCTCCCCACTCTTATAAATAATACAACTAACTTTGTTGCTCCTCTGAAATCTTGCTTAACTGTTGCTCCCTGGCTTCACTGGTAAAGAGAGGATAGAAATGCCTAAAACCTGTTGGAGCCCAGAGCAAGGATGACTAAGCATCTCCTAAAATAGATTTAAGTGTTTCTGCAGCAGACATTTACTGGGGCTGATGATTACTTTTATCACAGGGCATGTACTGTATTAATTACTGGGCAGGCAGTGGCTGCACTTCTACAGGACAAACATTAACAAATCATTATTAAACCTAATACCTCTGATCTTCTATCTGGTCAGCTGCACAGTTATCATTTGAAACAGATTACATTTGGGACAATATTTTATTTAATAATACAATCTTTGTTTTTTTGAAGTAACTCACTTCTCCCTACCACAAAAACAAACCACAAAAACAAAAAGCTAACACCCACACCTATCGGGATCCCTTATAATCTGAATATTACAGATTGAACCTCTCTAGTCCAGCACCTTTGGGACCTGATCGATGCTGAGCCAAAGAATTTGCTGAACCACAGGACGTCAACATTGTCTAGCAGCATTATCAATACTTCCACTACTTATTGGGCTCTTGGAAGAAATGCAGGGGTAAATTAGAGCTAAATAACTACACAGAACACTGAGAGCCAGGACTGGTGGCTGTAAACAAACTTTATGGAACTACAGGAAACTTGGCCACACCCATGTTAAGTAGACATCCAGATAACTAAAATCATGTTGGACCATGATGTTGCTGGACCAGAGAGTGCCAGACTAGAGAGGTTCAACCTGTATTAGCAACTGACAGTGGTTTTGAAAGGTAAGGGTATGCTGTAGCCTCTGTTCCTATTTTTCCAGTGGAAAAAATGTGTGTTTATGAACTGTTCACTTTCTTTTTTTGCCTACATTTTTAAAATTTAATGTCTTTATCATTAGTTTTTATGCCAGTGTGGATATAGCAACTTGAACTATATTTAGCACCTTTCGCAGTGGAAAACACATAAGAAGTTGTCTTGGCTCACCCTCGAGCTCTTCAGAAGAGCCAAAGCCAAACGAAAATGTGTTTCCCATGATGCTGCATGGCCTTGGCCTTTGAAAGCGACATGGGAAGGAAGCAACAAGTGCTGTTCTCGCTTTTTCAACTGAGGGGGGGCTTATTTCATTAAATAGAAAATGAAAACTATACAAAATACACTTTTTAAAAATTCTTTTCTGCAGTCTCCTGATCTAGCATGCCTTATTTGAATATTTAAAAAGGAAATAAATGCTAGAGTAGATCAACAGACCCTTCCTCCACAAGTCTCGCATATGGTATAGGACCCCAAGAGAAAGGGAAACACTTCACAAGATGCCTCAAGTTTTAAAATCATGAGAACTTATGTACAACTTTCAAAAATTTATTATAACTAGTGTTTCATTTGTCACTTCTGACAAATTGGTCCCCCCAGATATTTTGTTTCTAGTTTTAAAGCTGATAGAAGGAAAGAGTTGCAATGAGATGCAGCTAGCTGCGAGTAGAATACCAAATACCGCTCCATAGGATCTTATAACATACCCAATTTCCCCAACAGTTTGGAAATGCTCACCCTAGTTCTATAATCACTGCTTCTAGGAAAAATGTAGACTGGGAATTGGAAGACTGAACCAGTGCCTACAAATTATTTTAAAAAAAATCAGTGAGTATAATAGATAATGACAGTACTTCTAGCACTGAAATAGAATCTTATGGAAAAGAATCTGTTAATTGGGGAAGCTCTATCTCTCTGTGGAGATAAAGCATTAGTTAGTGGTTACAGTGAGAAACTGACATCGAGACTTCTAGATTGGAACACAGTAGAGCATTCGAATTACACACAGCATTATGAATTGATGGATCAATCACACACCTTATTTGGAGCCAGAATTACGCAATCTGGCAACACAACAGCTGAGCAAAAATAAACAAAAAAAGCAAATATAATACAGTACTTTGTTAAGTGTAAACTACTAAAAAATATAAAGGGGAAGTTTTAAAAAATATTTGACAAGGCAACTGTTTCTATGTTTGTTTCATTTAAATTAAAAGCAGCATTTTTCTTCTGCATAGGAACATTTCAAAGCTGTATTATGTCAATGTTCAATTGTAAACTTTTGTAAAAAACAACCGTAACATTTGATTCAGAGTTAAAACCATTTTAGAGTTACAACCTCCATTCCTGAGGTGATGATAACAATGAAGTTCTACTGTACATGCTTGCAAGTCAAGTTCCCTTATAAAGTATTTTGAAATCTTCAAATGATAGATGCTGTATTGATAGATGCACAGTATTGTTGTGTGTTAGAGATAATCATTGCCTTTCATTTAAGACAGTTGTAAGGAGCCATTAAGCACCTTTATAGAACAAGATAACTGAAACAAGAAGCCTCCCACTCAAAACACAAGTAGTACATGTCACCACCCAAAACAAAGGCACATGCAAATTATGGGGTTTTAATGGTTATTGTGTTGTGAATCAAACACAAGAGAAGAACTCAGAGAAGGAGCAGAAAGTCAAGGACACAGCCTTCAAAAGCACTGGGAGCACAGCCCTTAGAAAAAGCCAAGACAAAGCTTTTTCAGTTCAGCTCTGGCTGAAAGAGGTTTAGAACTATAAGCAAAGAAACTTTGTCTTTGAGTCCTACTGTACTCAAAGAAACAAGGTCTCTGGACATTCTTTGTAAGTAGACAGAGTTGCATCAAAGAAATACCTGACTTCATTACACATTTCACCTCCAAACTGGAACAACCTGCAAAACTCCAAAAATGTGCTTAACCACTCAGATTGATGGAGGTTCCAATATGCTGCAATCTATTGATTTGACTGGTTCTCTTAATTTTTATTATGCAAACAAAAGATGAAATACAATTTATATGCAAAATCCTTTATTTTCTAAGACTACATCTACACTGCACAGTTAATATGGAATAAGCTATTCCGGAATAGTTATTCCAAAATAGCTTATTTAGAAATATCACGTCTACACTGCAGGGAAGCCTCAAAATTAGTCTAAGACAGGCTTCACTAAAGTAGACACACTATCTCAATTTAGAGCCACGAGAGAAATAACTTCGAATGGTCCTGGTGAGGAGCTATTTTGAAATAGTTATTTCAGAATAGGTGTTATTCTTCATAGAATAAGGTTTACAGAAGTCAGAATAAGTTGTCTGTTTTTTTCAAAATAACTGTATTTCAAAATAACAGAATTGCTGTGTAGATGTTCGCATAGTTATTCCAGAATAATGGTTGTTATTCCGAAATAACTTTGCAGTGTTGACACTCCCTAACTGTTTATATTAATATTAAAAAATTTGAACAACTACATTTGATATTATAAAATCACTCTGTACCAGTAAGATAGTAAGGTGAATGATTCTCTGCAGTAAATGATGATTTCAGCCTGGAATGCAGTTTCCTTTACACAAACAGAAAAGATATACTCCAGAAGCTTTACAGAGAAAGTCTCATAAGGATAGCTACGTTAATCTGTAACTTTAAAAACAACAAGCAATCTTGTGGGTACTTTAGAGACTCACAAATATATTATATCATAAGCTTTCACAAGTAAAACATATCTGAAGTGGGTTTTACCCATGAAAGCTCATGATCTAATACATTAGGGCAGGCATGTCCAAAGTCCAGCCCGCGGGCCAATTGCGGCCCGTGTTCCGGTTTAATACGGCCCCACAGGTAATTTGTCAATATCTATCTTTTATGGCCCCCAACGAATCCATATGTATTGAGATGAATACATTGTAAAATCTCAGTTAATGTCAGTTGGTCTAAATCAGTTATAAATATATTTGGACACAACATGTATACTTGGTGTTATGTTCCTGTTCATATTTTTTGAACTTAAAAGTTGACAGACAACCTTTATTACCAATAATATGTAATGTACTTTACAATGTTCCTGACATATATTTCAGCTTCCTGGATTTTTTTTTCATCTGGCCTTCAGATATGAAAGGCAGAGTGATTTAACACCTGTTTAGATTTGTCATCCATGTGACGAAATGAAAAGTATGCCGTTTGCAATAAACTTTGCATAAAATAGTTAATTTGCATTTAATTTTAATGGTTCAAAGAATGTCAGGCAAAATGGTCGGCCCTCACGCATGTTCACTTCATCAAATCTGGCCCTCTTTGAAAAAAGTTTGGACACCCCTGGTATATAGCATTCCTTTGTATCAGGGAAGATCTAGAATTCAGAATGACCTTAGAAAAATCAATTAGCTGAATGTGATGAGATAAAGAATTCTCACTTTCCTCTGTTTATAGCATGTTCCTCCTCTAGATAGTCTTGAATGGAAAAACAATGTGGAACAACTTGGTATTCACATGTTCTTAGAGCTTTACAAAAATCTTCAGCATTATTCAGCAATCAAGTATAGCCGCCAACAATATCTTAATACTAGACAGTTTGGTACTTGAATACTAAAGTGAGTAACAGACCATAGATGTTGCATCTCATCTGTGTTTTTACAGTAAATAAAGCATGTATATCTTTAATCTGTCACTCTCCTCTTTACACTATATTAACATTTTCCCTTGTCTTCTATAAATCTAAGTCCAATAGAACTGTCAACCCTTTCTAAGGATTATTTTGAAGATGGACAGCTCTGACATTATGAATTAATTTTTTTTTATCAGCTTGTTTATCCAGTAAAACAAAAAATTGTTTATATTAGCATTGAAACAAGCTATGTTAGAATCAAAACCCTGCTGGAAAATATACATAATCCAATTCAGTCCCTACATTTTTCAGAATTAAAAAAACTTAAAATTAGTCTCAGCTGGAAATTGCTGCTCTCAGAATCTCTAAATGTTGTTGGTCAGGACTTCATAGACACTAGAGAACCTGACATTAGCTTCCCAATGCTAATCCAGAACAGCCAAGGGAAGAGTGCATGTCCCTCATCTGGGGGAAAAAAACACACAAACTCGCAGAAATATATAGTAGATAGCTGTCTCTTTCTCTACTCTTGTCCTCCTCCTGGCCCTATGAGATTATAGTGGTCCCAGTTCCTGCCCCATCGCTGGCCCCTTGCTGTTCCCCTGTGGTCATTCTGCAGTGTCAGTGTCCTTCCTGCCAGACCCCTGCCTTTCCATTTTGTGAGAAACAAATTCCAGGTACATCTCATTGTTCTGGCACAACCAAATCCTTACTTTACTTTAAGTTATGACAAGAGGAAACTGCATACCAAAAGTGGTGGTCCTAACTTTTACAGTTTAGGAGGAGTTTTTGAACAAAAAGACTCATAGATCAACAAACAGATGCACATTTCAAAAATATATAGTAATATATTTCTTTGGACTATTTTAGCCTTTTATTTGGGGTTTATATATACACACACAATCATTTTCTGGCCTCTGATCGATCAACCTCTTGTGCAAGTGACCTTGTTACCTATTTAATTCATTTAATCTTTCAAAGTTCATTTCCCAGTCCTTTAAATCATTTTTGTTGTACCAGGGGGAAATAC